CTCATTTCATAAACCTTAATGTCTCTTTTTAAACTGAAAAGTCCCCGACTCTTCAGCCTTTCCTCGCAGCGAAGGTGCTTCAATCCCTATGAATGCTTCTCGCCTGCCAGAAAGCTGCAAAATGTGGGATATGTCTGTCCGTTGCTTTGGCTAGATCCGAAATGCAAAACCGTTTTACTCCTCCTTTCCCAAGCAGGCAGTGATGCTCACTGAGAGCCAGTTTGGTGTAGAGGTTAGGAGTGTGGACTCTAATCTGGGAGAAGCGGGTTTGATTCCCCACTTTTCCACATGCAGCTGCCGGTGTGACTTTGGGTCAGTCACAAGTTCTCTCAGAGCTGTTCTCTCACGAGCAGTCCTCGAAAGCGCTCTCTGGGTGCATTCAGACGGGGCATTTAAGCCAGTATAGAAGCTGGTTAGAAACGGAGTACTTCCGTGCGATCACATGCACAACATGCCTTCCGTCCCTAACCGTTGCCAACACCCCTTAAATCGGTGTAGTTTGCCACTTGGTACCCAAGTGGTGTTTCCCTGAGTGCTCCAGTTCTAGCCGTATTTTCCCCGTCTGATCACTCTCCGCCGGTGTCTAGCCGAACCTTCCACTTCTTACCCGCCATTTTTTTAAAGCCTCAGCGATATGTGCTTGGGCGACGCTTCGCCCCAGTGTTAATTATTATTATTATTATTTTTTAAAAAAACGTGATTAGTTTTAGGCTTCGGATGAGTCCGGGACCTCATGGAGCCCAGTTTCACTGTAAAAGTTTAAAGGGCAGTGTTCCTTCACGGACATGATTTTCAGGATAGTGTGTTCTGCACCTGCGTGAAGATCTCAAATCTGTGGATAGCTGCCTACGCGCATGTGCAAAATGTAAAAAAACCCAAACCTGCTGACACTCGCTGTGGTGTGCCTAGTGTGGACGCCTGGGAGCGATGTGTTGTGCGGTGAGGGAGGTGAGTGTGGCCGCGCTTGCCCTGGATCCAGTTAGTCCACTTGGAACTGGAGCAGCGGCAGGCCATCTGAACGCACCCACTCAGCCCCACCTACCTCACAAGGTGTCTGTTGTGGGGAGGGGAAGGGAAAGGAGATTGTAAGCCGATCTGAGACTCCTTCGGGTAGTGAAGGGCGGGGTATAAATCCGATCTCCTCCTCCTCCTCCTCCTTCTTTGCACAGCTAGCGGGCATTGGCCTTCAAGGCAAGAATCTTCCGACCCTTCGTGCCCATTATGAGAACATCTGCAGCTATTAGCTATACTGAAGCCTGCGGGAAGAGAATCCTCTCCACACTTGGCATGGCCTAATTGCGTTATCGGCTTGCTGTTGGATTGGATGTAATCAATTTATTGCGTTTGGCAATTCTGCCTTACAGCACATTTCTTTTTCAAAAAATTCTGCAAAAGAAAACCAAGCCTTTGGATTAACTCTTTGTCTCCGGAAGGTCCTCTGCAAAGTTTGTACATGAACAGGCTTTGATTTACTGCAGGTTGGCTGCAGGTCCTTGCAAAAGAAAGTTTCCTGTCTTATGTCCATTTTTTCCGGGCAGTGTCTGAGACTACTGCAGTGTACTGTCCGTGGGTCGCCCCTTGAAGACAGCGTGGAAGCTGCATCTGGTTTAAAAATGCGGCCTTGGGAGTGAGCCGGAAGAGCCGTGGGTTGGATCTTGCAAGCTTTTCCGCTTGATCTTGCCTGATTTTCCTTTTTTCCCACTGCCAAATCCACGTTTTCCATGCAGGTTCTGTGATGCTAACTGTAGAGATGTGAAGGCCCGGAAAAAAACCGGAAAAATTTGGGGAAAACCCAGGTTTTTCCCGTTTTTTTCCTGAAGCCTTTTTTGTTTTTTTCCGAAAAATTGGAAAAAGGAAAAAAAAGACAAAATTGATCATGGAACGTTTTATTTTAACATGATGAATAAAATATTTTAAGACAAGGTGTTCAAATATTTTCCAAATCATTTCTAATATATAATATTATATATATGGTATCAGATTGATCTAATTTCTGTGCACTGAGGACAAGCAAGTCCTAGGTTACAAACTGAACTCTCCAATGCAAGAACAAGATGCATTTCTTCCTTTGGGAGGTGCTATTGTCAGAAGAAAATAAAAAGGTTTCAGTTTTGTTTTTGCATGTGGGTTTGTAATAATTGTTTGGATACACCATATTTTTAATATGCTAGTTGTGATAATTTCATGCCAAGTAAAAATGTCCAGTCATATTTTATGTTCCTAAAGTAACAGAATGACTTTCAATCTACAAAAGACAAAAGAAATTTTAATGTAGCATTTTTTCAATGTTTCCGAAAATTTTTGTTTCCCCCCCGAAAAAAACCCTTGTGCTACGGTGGCCACTGCACAACTGATCAAACTTCTAGTGACCAATCAGAAACCTTGCTGGGTAAAGGCCCTGCCCACTTACTAAAAACACTTGGCAGGTGCCATGGTGCCCTGCCTGTGGTGTGGTGATCAGAAAGGGCTCCTCTTTACTTTTTTTTGCCGGTGGAGGAATTGGTAGGATCCAACTCCATATTGTGCCTAGCGCAAAACAAATACACTGGCTACCAGTACATTTCTGGGCTTGATTGAAGATTGATTGTTTGGTATAGTGGTTAAGTGCGTGGACTCTAATCTGGGAGAACAGAGTTCGATTCCCCACTCCTCCACTTGTACCTGCTGGATGACCTTGGGTAAGCCATAGTTCTGATAAGAGCTGTCCTTGAAAGGGCAGTTCTCGAGAGAGCTCTCTCAGCCCCCACCTCCCTCACAGGGTGTCTGTTGTGGGGAGGGGAAGGGAAAGGAGTTTGTAAGCCGCTCTGGGACTCTTGAGTGAAGGGCGGGGTACAAATCCAATCTCCTCTTCTTCTTCCTGGCTGCCTTGGGGCCTAGCTATATGTTAGCAGCATATAGATAAATATGTGATACTGTTTATATGTATGTCTGTCAAGCAGATGTGTGTTGGGAGTTCCTGCTGTTGCTGAAACTTAGTCCCTCAGTTGCATCTTGGCCTGACTTGCATTGGGACCGTGGCCATTTTCCTGACCTGGGGAGGTGCCGTCTGCTCTTCTGGGGGAAAGGCTCGTGTACTGACGGGCTATGTGTATATGCATGGTCTATGTATAAAGTTCCCCAGTGGAGAAGTTCACTGTGGCTGTTCCAAACAAAACAGTGCAGGAAGGGAGGTTTAAGCTTCCTCGCCTTTTACACCGTGACTGTGATGCTAGTCGGGCCCCCACATCCCTGAGAATCTAGGTTTCAACAAACGGGGCACTCCCAGTCGCATTCTGCTTGCAGAGCCTGTGGCAGACCCATAAACAGTGTACTTGAGCTCTCTGGGAGTGCCCGGGGAAACGCTGATCGGCACTTCGGGGTCAGGAAGCACTTTTTCTCCTGGCCAGTTTGGGCCGGGGATCCTCGAGTTTTTTTTTGTCAATTTCTGGGCGTGGACCAGGGGTCACTGGGGTTGTGTGAGGGGGGAGGTATTTGTGAATGTCCTGCATTGTGCAGGCGGTTGGACTAGATGACCCTGGAGGTCCCGACTCTGATTCTATCTCTGCATGAATTTCCCCATAGTTTAAGGTCAACAAGGGCTCCCCTGCTTCACGTACCAACTTACGGAGCGGTCACGTTGCGTTTACAAGAGTGGAGCCTTCATAGGTGTGGCTTCGGCCTGCAATTTGCCTGTCTTCCTCTGTTAATTACATATGGACTGGACTATTGCAGTGTGGACTACTTGGGGCTACCCTAGTAGAGTGTTCGGAGGCTGCCGCTAGTGCTGAATGCTGTGGCTAGACCGCTGGTCTGAGTCAGCTGTTGGGAGCCTGTGGCCCCGATATTACAGCAATTACACTGGCTACCGATCCACTCCTGAGCCCAGTTCAAGGTGTTGGTTTTGACCTTTAAAGCCCCACATCAGGGGTGTCAAGCATGTGGCCCGGGGGCCGGATCAGGCCCCCAGAGGGCTTCTATGAGGCCCGCGGTGGGACTGGCTGTCTTCTGCTGCTGCTTCCAGTTCTGCTGCTGCTGCGTCATCGTAGGTTTGCAGCTGACAGATGCACACCTGAACAGCCTACTCAAGATTGCAACAGCACAGACATTTCGATGCAGTAATTCAGAGCAAGAGGTGTAAGTTATCAGACACTGTTAAATAGAATATTGCAAGCGTGCTGATGTTTTAAGCATGTTTTTATTTTAAGTTAAAAAAAACAACCCTTTGTGTTTGTGTCCTTTATAAAGTTTATATCTCCGCTACCTGGGATTACATTTTATGACACACATGGCCCAGTCCAACAAGGTCTCATTTATGTCAGATCCGGCCCTCATAGCAAATGAGTTTGACACCCCTGCCCTACATGGCTTGGGACCGGATTATCTGAGGGGCTGTCTTCTCCCATAAATTGCTGCCTGGGAACTGAGGTCACAGGGAGGGACCCTCCTGACCGTCCCATCAATCAAAGAAGCTCATCTGGTGGATACATGAGACAGGGCCTTTTCAGTGGCAGCCCCATGGTTATGGAATAATCTCCCCAGGGAGGAGTGCCCGGCCCTGTCACTTTCGATCTTTAGAAGCAGCTGAAGACAGTTTTATTTAGGACTGCATTTGGTCAAGTTTGGGCCTGAATTGTGATTTTTAATTTCGGGGGGAGGTTTATCGTATGCATTTTATCTGTGTTGTAATCCACCTCAAGCTCCGTGAAGGAGAAAGGCAGCTATTAAATGCTTTAAATAAATGAATGAATAAATATCTGCAGGCGGGCAGAGAGGCAAAAGCTGGTTTTGTTCCAATTGGCGCTTGCTAGCTTGCGAATACTAATTTCCTGGCCTATTGGTGGTGGCTCTTGCTCCCTCCCTGTTTTTCTGTTTAATTGGATTGTGGTGGTTTTCTGCATATCAATCGTGTGTCATTCTAGGCGGCTTTCCAGCTGCTTTGAAATTCTAGGACCACAGGGCTCCTGAGCGCCCTAAATAAAACTGGCACGGCTAACCTTCCCTCTCCTTCTTCCCCCGCACAGGGTTCCATGTTCTCTCTGGCACTGAAATGCCTTATCAGCCTCTCCACTGTCATTTTGTTGGGTCTCATCATCGCCTACCACACCCGAGAAGTTCAGGTACGTCCTCATGCTTCCGGGACCCAATTGGGGGACTGGATCTCTTTTTGGATAAAGTTGGAAGGTCTGGGCACAGAGAAAGCCAGTTCGATACCTGCTTCGGGTACCAACTTGTGTGAAAGCCAGAGTGTCTTGGTGGATATTGGGTAAAGGTCAGCTTTTCATCGACATGAATTGGTGTCTGGAGGTGCCATATACCAAGGCAGACCATTAGTTTGCTAAGCACAGTATTGTCTACTACAGTGGTTCCCAACGTGGTACTTGTGGAGCCCACTGACTACTTTTCTGGTGCTCACCAAGTGTTTTTAGAAAGTGGGCAGGGCCAGGTGGGGCTTTTGTCCCGCAAGACTTCTGATTGGCCATTAGTGATTTGATTGGCTGTGCAGCTTACTTCCCACAATTAGAAAGGATACCTTACACATTTATCTCCTATATTTTGACATATTTATTGCTTCCCTGTTTTTTGTTCCCTTAATTATATCAAAACAGCTGTTGACCTTATAACCTTAGCGTGTTGTTTAGTTTTGTCTTCGCCTGTCTTAAAACCTCTTAATCATGTGACATGCTAATTTGCTGTTCAGCCTCTGCCTATGAGTTTGAACTGTTACCTTCCATTCCAATGTATTTGAAAAAGTGTGCAGGCACACGAAAGCTCATGCCATGAATAAACCTCTGTTGGTCTTAAAGGTGCCCCACTGGACGCAAAATTTGTTCTAAGGATCTTCACTGTATGACTGAAGTTAAGCTGCGGCAGCCATTTTTTGGCTGGTTTCACCTACTGTGGCAGCCATTTTGTGTCTGCACCCACCCAACCCTTGGTCAGAATTGCAAAATTGCCCGTAGTCTCAAAAAGACTAAGGACCCCAGTCTCTACTCTGATGGTTGGGAAAACAGCCTTTCCCGACATCTCCAACTTGTTTTTGTGGCACTTGAATCTGCTTGTGAAGCTGTGCTCTGCCACTTGGGGTGCCGTTCCCATTAAGACCAGCGACCTGAAGGCCTGTTTGTGAGTTATATTGAACACACGTACCATCCGTGTACAGTGTACACTTGAGTTTTTCTTTGTATGTGCATTGGGTAATTCTCAGGTTACATTCAACGCATGTACAGCTGAACGTGTGATTGAAACCGCACATTTACGAGGTACTGGTCCTCAGCTTTGTCTGTACTGGGAATGCACATTGTGTCTTCCTTACAAACAGATGCACGAATCCCTTCCTGTGGTACCTGGCACCAAGTTTAGGGGCCAGGCAAAACCCTGCTGATTTGCCCGGGCGTTTTTGTGAATCCCTTCACGTGCCCTCTGTCTTTTTTGCTGTTAAATTGGTCGAGAAAGTCAGTGCAGCTGGCTGCGCTCGCTGAGCCATTTGACCATGCGTGTGGCTGCGTTTGTGTGCGTATGTGTCTCGGTGCTGTTTATTTTGCTCCTTTTACCCACTTGATTACTTATTGATTTTTTAAAAGCTGTTTCTAGAATGTATTTTTGGGGGTTGGTTTTGATCTTGTTAGAAGATGCCTTCTGTTTGGGGTAACCGGCTAATAAGTATTATGAGTTTGGGGAGGGGGCACGGTTAGAAGCCATGCGTGGGTGCCAGAGAAATGCATGTGGTGGGTATGCTCCTTAAAGCATTTAGGGTTTTGTTGTTGTTGTTTTTTTTAAAATAATATGCGATATAGGGTTGGGCAGGTGGCCACCAGTGGTAAGTGGAGGGAGGTAGGGTTACCAGATCCAGGTGGGGAAACTCCTGGAGATTTGGGTGTGGAGCCTGGGGAGGACAGGAACCACAGTGGGGTACAATGCCGTAGACTCCACCCTCCAAAGCATCGATTTTCCCCAGGGAAACTGATCTCTGTCGTCTGGAGATGAGCTGTAATCAATGCTCTCTCTAAGCTGTGGAGCCTTGTGAGCAAAAATTAAACTGTGAGCTACTGGCATGAAAGTTCTGAGCGAGCGATTTGGCCACTGCATAAATCAGTTTGCTGTGGAGCCCTCCTTCCTGAGCTAAGACAAAAAAATGTGTGAGCCAGAGACTAAAAAGTTGTGAGCTAGCTCGCACTAACTCAGCTTAGAGGGAACACTGGCTGTAATTCTGGGGGATCTCCAGGTCCCTCCTGGAGGCTGGCGTCCCCAACTGCCTTGCTGGAGTGGAGCAAAGCCTGTACTAGCCCCAGCTTGGAGATCCAGTACACAGGAACGGCTTCACCCGTTGGATTTGACGCAGCCCAGGTGTCCGGACACTTCCCTTCTCTGACATAGGGTTGCCAACTCTGGGTAGGAAAATTCCTGGAGATTTGGAGGTGGAGAGTGGGGTTTTAGGGAGGGGAGTTTCCTCATCAGGGTACGACGCCATCACGCCCACCCTCCAGAGCAGCCGTTTTCTCCAGGGGGACTGAACCCTGCAGGGTGGTCAGTTGTAATTCCGGGAAATGTCCAGGTCCCACCTGGAGGCTGGCAACCCTGTTCCCAGGAGTCCTTCGCTTTAGGACGAGTTGGCGGGACTTTTGCCAGCTGGGAGTCGGGTTGCCGTGCCTGGAGACGGCTGCCATGGAAACCAGATGCCGCCCTTCCCTCCCTCAAATTTTGGTGTGTCACTGTCGCCTGCCATTTGTGTTAGTAAAGGGGGGGGCCCGGGCTGATCGGTGCCATCTCCTTCTCCCCCTCCCGTGCCCAGGCCGGTGTTCACAGGGAAACACCACCACCACCGCCCCCGCCTCGCGCTGCCCTGAATGGCAAAAAGCCATTGCAAAAAAAAAAAAAAAAAAAGAGGGGAAAGATTTCCTGGCTCAGCTAGGCCGAAACCCTGAGGTTGCAGCTGGACGTTGCTATGGTTACTGGAGCAGCCGGTGCTGTGGGTTCCTGGCATCGGGGAACTCCCCTTTTCTTTTCTTCCCTGCATATTCTGATCCCGTCTCTTTCAACCCTATGGTGTGTTCTCCGTTTGTGTGTGTGTGAATGTGTCATCTGCTTCCCCCCCCCCCTTCGATCCAGCCCTGCCCATACATCTACCCCAAGTAGGGCTGCCAAGTGGGGGCGGGTGGCGGGTAAACCCCCGCTTTGGAGGCCCGATTTCCACCGCCGCGGAATCGGGCCCCGGGGGGAACTCTGCCCCTCGAAGCGCAGCGTCACAGGAAGTGACATACACGTCGACCACGTTGGGGGCGTGGCCCAGATCGGGGAGGGAAAACTCTACGGTTTTCCCTCCCACGATCGTGGCCACGCCCTCAACGTGATCGACGTTGCACGTCACTTCCTGTGATGTGCTGGCGGGGCGCGCGGGACGGCTCCCGGAGCTAGCCAAGGCTCCCCCGCCGGTGAGTATTTTCGACTTGGGAACCCTAACCCCAAGCTAGTCTCCAGGTGAACCTGGGGACCCCCCGGAATTACAGCTCATCTCCAGACGACAGAGATCAGTTCCGCTGGAGGAGATGGATGCGTTGCAGGGTGGAGTCTATGGCACTGTACCCCACTGAGGTCCCTGTCCTCCCCAGGCTCCATCCCCAAATTTCCCCATACAGCATCCCATTTTTGGCCCTATATTATTGGCTTACTGGCCTTACAAGTGTCACAGGGACTTCGTTGCATGGTGTATTTTGTATTCTGTACTATTTGACCTCTGAAGAAGGCTCTCGTGAGCCGAAACGCGTCAGGTCACACGTCGTTCTTTTTTTGTGCATTTGCAGCCCCGTAGCCAGAAATTTTGGGTTGGTGGGGCATGGGGAAAATTTGTGGGGGAGGGGTGCCCACACGCCTTCCCTGAACTCCCAAGTGGCGGTCTCGCCACTTGGAGTTCAGGCGCAGGCAGCCTCCGCTTGTAAAACACCATTGAAAGGAAACCTTTTAAAAAAACCTTTTTTTGAAGTGGGGGCTGCCTGCGCCTGAACTCCAAGCGGTGAAATCACCTGGTGGAGTTCAGGAAAGGCATGTGGCTGCCCCCCTCCCTCCCTTCCTGCAAGATTTAAAGGACCCTCCAGCTGATCGGTGGACCACATGCTCCCGCTGATCAGCTGGAGGGCTCATTGAATGTCACAGGAGGGGAGGGAGGGGCAGCAGCTATTGTGGGGCATGCCTCATATTTGAGGGGGCAGAGCCCCAGAACGCCCCGCTGTGTTTACAGGCCCATGCATTTGTCACTTTGAACATTTTATGAGGCCTTATTTGGGCCCTTACAAGGTTTTTATACCTTTCTGAAATAAACATGGGCGCTTCTGTCTATGCCTATTGATGTTTTTAACTTTTGGCCCTTAAGTAGTTTTCTTAGCTTCCTTTGGAGGTTTTTGTCAATCCCCAAATCTCCAGGAAGTTTCCCCACCTGGAGTTGGCAACCCTAAACCCCCCAAGTGCTGGTGGTCAGGGGGGAACCAACAACCCTGATCCCAACGCAGGCTGAATTTGAGCTGGGGGCTCAGTCGCAGTATTTTTCAACCCCCAGAACATGCCAAATTAGGACCAAGGCTGTGCCTCGGAGTAAGTACAGAGTGCATCTCAAGGAAAAGAAATGGGAGGAGGACAAAAGAAAGTAGTAGGGGTATACCCTGCAAACTCACGGATGTATTTCGGTCGGGGAAAGGAGATCTGTGAACCAAGAGAAGATGAGGGTTAAATTAGGGCAGTTCCCCTTCCCGTGCGATGGAAGATAGTAGAGTTTTCTTTCGTTTTTTAAAAATTACGTAAAAGAGGAATTTTGTAATTTTCCAGGCTACGGTGGGTGGCCCAGGCTAGCCCATTCTTTTTTTTTTTTCTTTTTTTTTTAAATTAATTTTTTATTGATTTTCAACAATTTACCAAAACATACAATCCCATTGACTTTCGTCAGTTGGATACAATTATACATACACAGACAACACACAAAAGACACATATACACTACCTTCACCCACCCACACCATAACCTGTTTTTCCCCATATCACATGGCGGCGGCGTCTATCCGTGATAAAGTAATTACTGAACTCAAATCGGAACTCCAGTCAGAACAGTTTCAGCAGAAGCTAAGAGAAGAAGT